CATGACACAATAACTACGATTTAATAAATTCCTAAGTTTCCGCGAAATCAAGTTCCGAATAAAAGGGTATATCGAACAGATTCGAAATGTAGGGTCTAGACTGAAATTTCTTATGACGGAATTAGTCAAGGATACGACGATTTGTTCTTCGCGAGTATTTAAATCGTAGATCGGCATGGCACAATAACTACGATTTAATAAATTCCTAACTTTCTGCAAAATCAAGCTCCCAATGAAAGGGTATATCGAACAAATTCGAAATGTAGGGTCCAGACTGAAATTTCTTACGACGAAATTGATCAAGAACTCGACGACTTGTTCTTCGTGGATATTTAGATCGTAGATCTGCATGGCACCGTAAGTGCCCTTTTGATTTATCGAAGTGGAAGATATGTACACGTGTCCAAGAAGAAATTTCATACGACGAAATTGGTAAAGAATCCGATGATTTGTTCTTCATTGGTATTTAGATTGTTGTGCATGGCACGATAAGTGCCCTTTTGGTTGATCGAAATGGAAAATAGTGTCCATGAAGATATTATCCGGGCAGGGTCGTACCCTTCATGGCAACTCATTTCTGACCTCTGATTTGCAACATTTGCATCTGGGTCACGAGTTGATCGTTACACCCAACTTCGCATCTTCCGATTTGGGTCCATCGAGGTCATGCGCTGAAGACATCAAACGGACCTAGGATGGCAGTGCCCATTGTCCAAGATCAAACTCCTCCAATGGGTCTCTTTCTCAACGTACATAGGTCTCTTGGGTAAATCTCTCTTTCAACGATTTGCATTTCAATTATAGATTCGATATAGATAATTACAACAATGCAGGTTTCGCCCTTGAGCGAAAAAGTTACTTTCTATTAAAAAAAAAGGGGAATTCCTGGGACAAGTAGGTTTCTACTTGCTATTATCCACGAGATATGTTGGGGGGTGTACGTGCGATTGAATGAAATTTATACCAATTTAAAACGATTTTTAATTTTCTTCAGCTCGGCTTCGTCAACTTTTTATTATTCATCATTAGATTTTCAATATACAAACGTCTTGGAAAGAAAAATTTATTCGATTTATAAAGTAAAAGAATTCGAAAGAATTAATAATATTCTTGCACTAAAGTAGAATTTCATAGACTTACTAATCCATTTGAAATAATATTTATTCGCCATTAATAATTATTTATACCGAGAGTTAAATTGTTTCGCGGGAACAGGTTGTATCCAAAAAATTACCCGCCCTCCATTCATATTTCCAATGCCTGAAGTCCTTTGTACATGACGTTTTATTCCCGCATATCATTTCCACTCGATACAAAACTATCATCGCCGAACTTGCATTGCCGGTGATTCCTACAAACTTAATTTCACTGGAGCCAAGGAATTCCTTTATCAAGAAGCATTTAGATTGCCGCAAGTACTTAGTTTCGCCTTTGGAAATAAACATTTCGCTCATGATCGGTGCAAGTGTTCCAAAATCAAGCATTCAAAAAATTAAGAAACAAAGGACGTCACTTCCAGCACCCAGGATCTTCTCTCTTCAACAAACTAAAATAAGATGAGAATTCCCCCGAAAAGTGACCATTCCTTGTAACCAGAATTTTCCACCCTGAGTCAAGAGCAAGTATGGTGCAAACATCTTAAAATCAAGCATTCAGAAAATCAAGAAACCAGGGACACCTCCAGCATCCAGGATCTTCTCTCCACGACAAACTGAAACAGGATAAGAATTCCCCCGAAAAGTGACCATTCCTTATAACCAAAATTTTCGACCCCGAGTCAAGAGCAAGTATGGTGCAAGATTCTTAAAATCAAGCATTCAGAAAATTAATAAACCAGGGACGCCTCCGGCATCCAGGATCTCTCCACGACAAACTGAAATAGGATGAGGATTCCCCCGAAAAGTGACCATCCCTTGTAACCAGAATTTTCCACCCCAAGTCAAGAGCACGTGTCCGAAAATACAACGTTTCGTTTCGGTGCGGGACCGAATTCTTTGCGCCATTAATTGTTGGGGACCATCCGAAGATCCGCATCTTCCGAAACGCGATCGTAAATCGTCGTATCCCAAAGAACGGCACAGGTTCGTAACAGTTCCGACGACCCCGAACCGGTGTATCCGTGCATGCATACTGCTGTACCGTTTTAGGTTAGTTCGAGATCGAGCGCTCGAGATATCGGACAGGTCCAGGAAGACATTGTCCAGGCGCCCAGGGTCGAACTCTTCGCGGGAGATAATTTTCGAGACCATCGAAGGAGTCGTTTCGGCAAAGCCATGGCCACTTCGAGAAGCCGCATGGCCTGGGAAATATTTTTGGCGCCCCTGCCCCCCGTGCCCCTCCGCTCCAACCCCTACGGGCGACGCCCTTGTCGAGCACTGCTCCTACCCGTCACCCACGAAGATTAAAGGGCGCTAAGGGAAACGTCCGGTGGATCCAGAAGAGCCCTCTTCGACCTCCACTTCGACTTTCCTTCAAATTATATTCGAATTTTCGGGGACTCCGGTAATAGAGAGATAATTATTAGAAATTAAGAAAATAAAAATGAATTAAAGGGTTCCAAAACTACCGTGAACCATCATACATGGCTAATTGTCGGTATTTAAGGAAATGATTGTCCATTTGGACGCGTTCAATTTTTTGTACTCATGAAAATTCTTGTTAACCCGGGCGTGGGAGATTTTTAGGATTTTGCATCCTTGCTGATAATTATTAGAAATTAAAAAAATAAAAATGAATTAAAGGGTTCCAAAACTACCGTGTGCCATCATACATGGCTAATTGTCGGTATTTAAGGAAATGATTGTCCATTTGGACGTGTTCAATTTTTTGTACTCATGAAAATTCTTGTTAACCCGGGCGTGGGAGATTTTTAGGATTTTGCACTTCGACTTTCCTTCAAATTATATTCGAATTTTCGGGGACTCCGGTAATAGAGAGATAATTATTAGAAATTAAAAAAATAAAAATGAATTAAAGGGTTCCAAAACTACCGTGAACCATCATACATGGCTAATTGTCGGTATTTAGGGAAATTATTGTCCATTTGGACGTGTTCAATTTTTTGTACTCACGGAAATTCTTGTTAACTCGGGCGTGGGAGATTTTTAGAATTTTGCATCCTTGCCGACCATTGCTCTTACCCGTCACCAACGAAAATGAAAAGGTGCTGAAGAAAAACAAATTTAAAGAAAAAATGCCATAGGTGCTAGGACTTTCTTTGGGGGCTCCATATTAACACATTTTCGACCGATCACGAGTTAACTCGTGCCGGAACGACTAGCGTTCCATAATCGCCGATCAACAATGTGTTAACGTGGTAAAATTTCAAAAATTATTCGGTATACCCAGTTGGGAGAAACATTTCATATAAAAACTCCTCGGACGCCAATTTTAATATCACCTTAAGGGATTCCAAGGCTACTCCGCTTCATCTCCTCTTAATCCGAGTACGTTTTATTAACGGCAAATGAAGATTATCGTTAAACCGAACCTGTTAGATTTTTAGAATTTTCGTAATTGTGGAATTGTGTAGTATTTTGATTGGAGTCGTTCGTCGATCGACATGGTTTTATATCACGAAAAGGGGAGACAGGATATTATACGATTCTAACGATTTCTCGTTAATTTCAAACGGCACGTCGATCCATCGAGTGCAGTTTTCTCTGACCACTAATGATCTATCCGATCCATACGCGCACGAGTCGATGATTCGAATACCAGTGTCCGGAAATGGCGAAAAATTTTTGTTGAATTCCCTTAAATCCGCAGCACGTATATTCAGCTATTTCGATTATCGCTTCTCGCCCTCTCGAAGGAAAGAGGTGTTTATTATCGCGCGAAAGGAGTCGGCCGAAGCGACGAGCCTCGTTACCAAATACCGAAATTAGAAATTATCCCGATACTACTTTTACCTCAAATGAATGTAGTTCGAAGGGAGCAGATTCCTCCTGGAGTACATGGAGAACTGGAGTACGAACGTCGATTGCACCGAATCCGCGAACTTCCTTCTAGACCACCTCCGCAATATAATCAACCCCTGCAAAACAATGAACCCTTACGTCGTCATCGAGAAGAAACTCCGGCAACGGCTCTTCGATCGACTCCTCTCCTATCCTCGCGTCTTCGAACCGCTCATTCGAGAATAACGCATCCTATCCCCCGAATGTAAAGAAAAAAGAGGGCAACGAGAGTCGAGAGAGAAAGCTCGTCCGGGCGCCGCGGCGAAGCTCTGGTTTCCAAAAAGCGCGCTTTCCCCGCTCGGCGGCGGCGGAGGCGTCGGAGGCGTCGGCACCCCTCCCTGGCCGGCGACTCCCCTCCCTTGCGGCGGCGCTCCCTCCCGGCGCAGGCTCCCCCCTCCGGGCGGCCCGGCGTTCCCCCACCAGCCGGGGGTGAAAACCACCCCAGGACGCGTGGGGTGTCCGGCCTTGCCGAGGCCCGCCGAGGTTGTCCGAAGCGAGCGCAGTGCCCGCCACCAGGTCTCGAGCGGCGCGACTAGGCGCACGTCCGGCACAGTCCACTCGGAGATACGACCCATGCTGGACCATTGCTGGCGTCGCTCTTCCCCGAGCGGCCCCGTCCGAGAGCACCGGTCACCGGTCGTCGCGGCCCCGTCGCGCCGCGGACAATAGCGCGGCGAGCGCGAGGGCGAGCGAGAGAGCGAGAGAGCGAGCGAGCGAGCGAGAGGAGGAGGACCGAGAGAGCCAGAGGAGGACGTAGCTCGGAGCGGCGGGCCCAGTGGAGCCGGAGCGGTCGCAGCGCGCCAAAGGGCGGCCCGGTGATGAGGGACCGCGCGTGACCGACCGCGAGGGAGTGCGCGACCCATGGGCCCGACCCTCGGAGGGGCCCGCGGCGGCCAGCCGCGCCGCGCCGAGTGAGATAACGGATTGACGGCCGCCCGGCCGGCTGTCACCGTCGCGTGCGTTCTCGCGCGTCCTCGCGCGTCCTCGCGCGTCCTCGCGCGGGCGCGCGCCACCGGCGCGAGTCACCCGCGAGCGGCCACCGAGCCCGGACGTCCGTTGCGACGACATGGCCGGACCCGGCACCTGACCCGCCGGCGCCCACGAGGACTCCTCCGCCCGCCCGAGTCGAGATCTCGACCTCGCAACCATGAGGATCAAAATGCCCGCCGTCAGGATCGCCCAAGGTGAGTCCTTCGCCCAAAGGCCCACGTGGCGTTGTTTCGCGACGATGGGGGTTGCGCTCTTGGATTGCGACGGTCGTAGGGCGAGATTGTGAACGACTGTGTGGTGCGATGGACACGGATCGCGGGGTGATGTGCCGAGGAGACCGGTGTCGGGAAGTGGAGCCCCTGCCCTGGCCCTAGGGTTTGTGGACGGGATTTTGTTTATCGCGGGGAACGCGTTGTCGCCTTTATCGTCGTTTGTCCCGGGTCGCTGTTTTCTGCCCGTCGCGATTCACCGGCCGCGGTGGTCCGCATTTCGCTGATGTAAATGGTCCCGGGAGTGTTGCCTTGTCCTCCAAATTTTCTTCGCGAGGGGTGGGTTTATTAGGAAAATTGGAAATAATTATTCGCGAGGGATCGCCCGGTTCCTTTATTTCATTGTTGGGGCACGCGGGGAAGTTTAGGAAGCGCAAAGTTCGAAGCCGATCGCCTTGATCGCATCCAACCGGTCGTGTTCGTTAAATGTCACTTCGTACTTTGCATTGTGCCCGTTGGAAAGTCCGGGGACTGAAAGAAATTGCGCTGGAAAAGTTACATCCTCCTTCTGCTTGCCGCTGGTTCTTCGGTTGAAAGGTTCAATGATTTTTTTCCCTTTTGCTTCCTTCCTTCGATTGTCCCGGGGAATCATTTCGGTCGGAGGAAACCGGAATGATCGCTGTTTTATTGAATATCGCGGATTCTCTTGGAAATGTTCCTTGATACGTCTCAAAATAATAAAATGTGTCGCGGATTCTTTGCAATGCCTTGGAATATCGCGAAGGAAAACGATAAAATATATTTTTTCCTGCAAATGTCACTCGACAGATTTCAAAACGATAACGGAAGCCGAAAGCATGATCGCAATATAAAAATTCTTAAAGCTCGCGAGCAATTAACGGAAGTAACGATTACGTTAATGGAGTCAACGAAGAAATGTCAATAAATTAAATATTAAAAGGAAATTGTTTTCGTTGTAGCTGAAAAATTTTGTCCGTTCCATTTCATTGTTTAGACCCTCCATAACGGCTGAAAACATGCTTTCACATAAAAAACGCGAGCAATGTTGGGAACAACGAACGTTTCTTTTATAAATAGAAATTTGGTGCTTCGTGACTTTGTCGTGACTTATACAAGTATCTATTTTTGTTGAAACTCGGCAACTATCTACATTTGAATTGCTATTTCTTCTGCGCATTGTTGCATTAAATGAACCGTTTGTAACAATTTCGATGACCGTTGACCCCGAGGTACTGTAAACCAAAAAAGAATCACAGATTCTACTTTAACACCGCATAAATAGAATTTTTGAAACAAAATGTGCGACTTTCACCTTCGAAATCCGTGCTGTATTATTTCCACTCATAAACTAGATAAATATATTACAAAGAAGTATTAAATGAAGTATGGAGCAACTATTGTAATTAATCGGTATGAGTTGCTATTAGTATTCTTACATAGCGCTAATAAATGGTAAAAAGAAATAAAACTAAATATTATATGTATTGAATAAAGCCACGATAAGAAAATATTGTAACCAAAAATATTGCCGGGAAAATCTGATAAAAAGAACCGTGCTTCTAGAAATGTTAAATCAAGAAAAGATTGTCAAGAGAAACAATTGATGCATTTCGCGTCGCAGAAAAGCAAGTCCTTACAAACACTAAAAATCACAACATTTCTTTGTCTTTGTCCAGTGGCAGGGGAAAAGCGAAACTTTGGTTTCCCGTTTCCACTTTTTCCTGCAAAAGGCCCGCAGCAATTTCTTCGGAAAGATAAAAAAGCGAAACAAGAAGTTGAAAGAAAAAGTTCTAGAATCTCGACATATTCTTACAAACCAAGTCTTCTACCATTAAAAGACTCGACCCCGCTTAGAATCCATCTGAGGGTCCCATCAAATCAAAATGGGAACATCCTTTGCAGCCCATTCCGCATGATTCCCTAAATTCGACTCTTTCCGACCATAAATTATTTCACTAGTGTCCAATCTTTTGAAAGGCCCGACTCCAAGTCGCGAGAAATCCAACGTAACCTCAGAAACCAACTCTTCTCACATTAATGGAATTGACATTGCTTAGAATCCAGCTACGTATCCAATCAAGCCAACCAATTGGACCATCCCTTGCACTCAATCCCGCACAATTCCCTGAACCCCACAGATTCCGACCGTAAATCCTTATTTCCCACCCACAGACTTTTCAGAAGAACCGAAGAAGTCGCAAAGAACGGTTCATAACTGCAGGAACCAATTCTTCTTACATTAAAAGAACAGATAAAGCTTAGAATCCAGCTACGTGTCGACCAATCGGAACACCCCATGCCCCCGATTCCGTATAATTTCCTGGCCTCCACTTTTTACCAACATAAATCCACTCCGCGTATAAACTCTTTAGAGGAAGCAGTCCAGAAGTCGCTCGGAGATCTCGAAGAGCGCGTTTCTAAAAAGGAGTCACCCCAGAAATAAAGGACGTGGGGTCTTGTCGCGATTTGGGGTCCCCAGGCCACCGTGCAACCGGCGTCGCGTGCGTGCAGCGTGTAATATATGTAGCGTGCAGCGTGAGGTTCTCCGCGGTGGTCGGTCGGCAGTCGCGAGGGTCGGTAATCGTCCAAATAAGCGAAAAGAAGCGAGAAGAGGCGCGAGGGATGTCTTAGGAAGAATTTGTTTAATTAGTCCCCAGCATCCCCACCGCGGGCGGAGTCGTCGGGGGTAGGTGGTCGAGGGAGGGGGCCGTCGGCGGAGAATGGGGGGAAGGGGGTCGAGCATTGTCATGCGCGCGTTTTTCAGAGACTTTTCCACCCCCGAGCACCCCCGAGCACCCCCGCCGGCCCTCACCCTCTTCGCCGCGGCGCCGACGACGGCGGCGGCTCCGTTTTCTTAATTACAACTGCGATATTCTTTAGTTCGCGCGATGACGCCGCCGCGAAAAGATACCGGGAACATTTGCGCGATTACCGCCCCCGAGTTTCCTATCGGCGCCGATCAAGGGAACGGTTCTATGGGGTCAAACGGACCCATGGGGTCCCTCGCGGACGCTAGCACACGGGGATGCTGGAGAGTGATCAGTGATCAGCACAGTCAGGCTCGGTCTTGGTCTTGCGGAGAGGGCGAGATGAAGACCAAGACCTATTTTGATCATCACCGACGATGGATCTTCTTGGTGGCTTGATCCGTGGAGGATGTCTTAGAGGGAACGTGGAGGTAGGGTTCAAGACCTCCACCAATCGCGTCTTCGGATGCGAAAATCTCGACCAATTAGAACAGGGGGGAACACCTGCCCCTGAGGTATCGGCGATACGACACCGGCGATTAGGATCGCGAGAGTGGGAGACGTGATCTGCACCCTTAGGGTCGTGTGGATGGTAAGTGGTCACGTACGGCTGGCACCGTGGGCTCTTGTCGGGAAATATCGGAAGACCGATAGTCGAAGGCTCCTTTCTACGAAAGTTATCCCTGGACCCTGAAGTGCAGGTGAACGACGCCACTTCCGCTCTGCGACGGAAACGGAACGGGGAACGTGCTGCCGGGTTTTGGGGCATCCTGCCGTGTTCCAGGATTTCGGGGTACGCAAATCTTGACCGTGGTGGGATAGGGTGGACTTCCTGCCTGGTGGTGATGGTGATCGTGATTGAGATCTCGACAATGGGAGATGCGATCTGCACCCTTCGAGGGGTGCAGATGGTAAGTGGTCACGTACGCTTGACCTGCCGCATCTCTCGGGTCTCCCCTCTACTGAAAAATATTTTTTTCACAATTCTTGTTTCCGGCAAAGTCGGACCTGTGCTTTTTTACGATCATTGGGTTTATGGACCGCGATGGAAACTGTAGAAGAATTGGGCAGAAGCGATCGCGTTTGGCGAAGATTCCTTCTTTCGCTGGACAAAATTCCTCCTCCTTTTTTATGAATGTTTTACGAGATTTTTATTAATGCGGGCCTACACAATGCCGGAAACGTCAAATGTCAAGGAGGAAAGGGATTGCCACAGCATCGGGATTTGACGTTATGGGAGGAAAGTCAAACTCGTATGGATCGTTCGCAATGAAGTGTAGTTTCGTTTAGAAGTGGCTCTCGATCTGCACTCTCATCGTTCACTTTCTTCCAGTGATTATCGTTTACATTTTAATAGAATACGCTATGCCTGTCCGAAGCATGACGAATGTCTAAACTTGACAAGTGCTCATCTCTTTCTTTCATTCTGGGCGGGGTTCGTATAATTCGAGTGAGGAAAGTAACGGGACGTTTTTGGTGACTCCAATCCGTGCTATTTCTTTTCTTTTTTTCTTTTTCATTTTCAACCGTCTCCTTCAATTGTACAATGTTACATTTTTTTATATCTTTAATGTCAAATTTAGTGTTACCAAATTTCTCGTAACACTAGTTCGCATTGAAACTGTGGTTGCGGATTGTTACTTGTATTTTTTTAAGAAATATTAACTGAAGAGTTTTGATGGCACGATTTCTTGCAAAACTCGTTTAGGTTAAAACGTTAATTGTATCGTGTTACGATTTTTAATAATCTTAATTTGAGACTTGTTATCATGATTCCTTGCAAAACTGGATAGCAGGAAAGGTAATAGTCGTCTTCAGGGTGTTTGTCGCGATACGACTTACTAAACATTTCGAGTTTCCGGAACCTAATTTAATCGGACACGTAACTTCCTTATCACGTATCCCAGATATATCTGTACATTTAGAGTTTACGTATACATCCGCACGTGTCATTCCTAAGGGTGGTGTAAGCAGCTACTATTACGATCGTTTATGATTACGTCGCCATGCATAATCCCAGAACTAGGCGAGTTACAACATTACAGAAGTAAAATTAATTAATTATTGCGACCTGGTAACGTCGGCGATGCAATTCCGCGTAAACACTTTTAACTGATAAACAAAGTAATACCGATTTGAAAAATCGCGACCAGATTTTTGGTCGAGGCAAAAAGAAATAACGTTACAGTTAATAGAAACTGTAATAAATTCATAAAA